TTTGCAGAGACAGGGTCTTGCTGTGTTGCCCAGGCTGCCCCCATCTTACAGGTGGCATCTTATCACCCAAAACATCCGAAGGAGAAGAAAAATGCTTGCAAAGTTCTCCTTACCTTTAGTTCCTGACCAGAGCTTCCCAGAGAGGGAAGAGGAATGAGAGAAGAGGTGTCTGCACTCTCTCAGTCTCTCTAGAGGAGCAGGCATGGTTCCCTGTTCTCGGTCCTCTCTTTTATTTCTGAGTTGGTAAGTGCTGCTCCCTAACGAGGCCAGGGACAGGAAGGCCAAGGTGAGGGTCAACCCACCTGGAGGGCATAGAACTGAAAATACTACGATCAAAGAGAAAATTTTACATTCCTAAGGATATTATCTGTGTGTCATTGACAAAGCACTTTCAGAAACATTACTTCTCTTGAATCTCTTGCAATAGTCGGAGAGGTTTTAATGTTAGTATTACCTTCCCCTCTCTTTTTTTACAGGTGAGTAAACCGAGGCACATAGAAGAGAAGTGACACGCTAAGGTCACAGAGGTGATACTGGCAGCAAGACCCCCCGAGCCCAAATTCTGTGCACGCTGCTTTCTGGCACATACTCAGGAATCTTGATTTAGACGAGGATGACAGATAGAGACAGGAAAGCATCGTGGTCACTCTCTGTGGTGTCATCCTACAAAATTAGAAAGATTTAATGAAATAGTTTTGGTTTCATTTTATAATCTCCTAAGAATCTATCCTTCAACAATATAAATCTTCTCTTACAATATTTGATTTTTGTCGTAGCAAACTTTGGAAATAGCAAGTTCTATACACTTACTGTTCCTGTGTAAAAAGAGTGCTATTTTTACTTTGCCCTAAAACTATTTCTTTAAAATGATAAAGTTGTCCCTAGTTCTTATGCTCTGAGGTTTAACAAGTTCATATTTTAATCCTATGATTTTCATTATAAATTTCAATCATCTTCCCCTCTCAGGCTGTGTCTTTCCAGAGTGAAGAGCCCTTATTCTTCTATCATCCCTCACAAAGAACATTTTCTACCCTCTTGATCGATTTAGGTGTCCTTCTCTAGACCTTGTCTGGCTCTGTATGTCTTTGAGATACATCAGATCATCGGGCCCCCATCACTTTGTCTATTCTTCTATATAAAAGAGTACAATGACTTCAGCTAAAATGGGAAAATATTTGAAAGACATTTTTTAAAAATCAAACAATTTTTTTGCTCCATGTCAGCCCAGCATATGCTAAAAAATATACACTGTTGCTTCAAGAGAATGAAATTAATTGAATTCTCAAATGAATTTAAACACCCTGGTATAAGGCAACCTTGTAATCCATTATGAAAATGGCAATTTGCAAAGCACTTTTACATGCATGATCCCATCTGACCCTTACATGAACCATGCAAGGTAGAAAAAACACATTATTCTTATTTTTCACATGAAAAAAGTAAAAAGGCGAGTCGATCCCAAGATCTAAGAGCTGGAAGCAGACTCCCATCCCTGGCCCTCCGTCAAGAGGCCAGCCTTCAGCCACTGCACAAGGCAGGCTTCCTGATAACCACGTGTCGCTTATTCTAAATCACCCGCTACCCCGGTCGTGAAACACCCCTCAGTTCTACCACAAGGACAGATGCTCGAGGCTGGTCTGTACCCTCCTCCCTTCTCACCCGACACACTCTCCGCAGGAAATCTCAGCCACGCGGGGGCCATCAGGATCACCTCCACGCAAACCGCTCCCAGATTTCTGTCTCTCGGCCACACCTCTCTTCCGAGCACCACACAGGTACTTGACATCTCTCGGATTTCTCAAAATGAACAAAACTGAACCTTCTGCCCCATCTTACGCCTCTCCACTGCCAAACCCCGATTCTGTTCTGATGTTCCTGTTCTCAGACATCTTGGAGCTGGGAGTCATCTCCACATTTCCCTCTCCTCCCCAATTTCACACCCCTGTATCCCACCGCTCCCCCGCATCCAATCTGGCATGGGTCCTTCACTGTTATCTCCCGCGTAGCTCTCCTTGCCCGTCCCCACCGCCTCAGTCCCAGCTACAGGGACCGCTCATTTGGCCTTTAATGGATTCCTAATTGGTCGTTCCTCCCCCACCCCTCCTCTCCTGTAGCTGGAGGGACTCTTCCAAATGCCATTCTGCTCATGCTGCCCTGCCCCACCCCTGCGTACGACATTTCAGTGGCATCTCACCGCTTTTAGGGTAAAGTCAGAACTCCCATAACTTGCCGACAGACCCCTACCTGACCTGGTCCCCGCCCCAGCCTCATCTCACGGTGCTCCCCTTCACTGCTCGAGCTTCAGCCCCACCAGCCTTCTTTCAGATCCTTTTAGTCATGACGCTTTCATTAGCCACAGCGCCCTGGAATATTTCTCCCTTCCTCCCCTATTTAAATCCCTAGAATTAAATTTCTAGAAGCCTCCAGCTGGGCGCAGCGGCTCACGCCTGAAATCCTAGCGCTCTGGGAGGCTGAGGCCAGAGGATCGCTCGAGGTCAGGAGTTCGAGACCAGCCTGAGCAAGTATGAGATCTCATCTCTACCAAAAATATAGAAAAATCAGCCGGGCATGGTGGCTCACACCTGTAGTCCCAGCTACTCGGCAGGCTGAGGCAGGAGGATCACTTGAGCCCAGGAGTTTGAGGTTGCCGTGAGCTATGATCAGGCCACTGCACTGCAGCCTGGGCGACAGAGTGAGACCCTGTCTCAAAACACACACACACACACACACACACACACACACACACACACACACACACATTAGACATTAGAGAACAGTATGCATACAATTTTTAAACCTACGTATCTTTATTTAAAAAAAAAACACCCTATGTGTGTGTGTTTGAAAAGGTCTGCAAGACTAACACCCAACTGGAAATGAGAAAGGATAGAGAAAAATAGGATAACAATTTCTACTCACAAACTTCTGGGTTGTTTGACTTTTTTCAGTGACCATATGGTATTGTTGTAATTATTTTAATAATATCATTTTTAAAATAATGATGCAATTTACCAAAGTTCAGGAAACTGACCATTTCTAAATATAGTAAGAAAAAAAGCTACTTTTGATTCCTCAACAATGATGAAGTTCCAGAAACCAGCATATTTCCAAGTCAGATCTTCAATCTAGCAATAACCTCTGATGAAGATGCAAAATGCAAGAGAACAACTGAAAATGCCAGAATGTGTTCTTTAATTACGCCTTCCCCTCACGTGACTTTTATAAATAAAAAGGATTTCCCAAAAAAATCACTGCTCTTTAATTCCCTCATACAAACTTGGAAGGAAAAATAAGAGAAAGAAATAACAGCATGAATTTTTCTTCGTTTACTCAGATTTCTTTTTATTAAAGACAACCGAGTATGTGAAGGTACCTCTATTTCCCTCCACCTGTCGAATAACAAAGCGTCTACTGTCTTTACCATAGCTCAAACGGAAAAGCTAGTCTCTAATTCGCACACATTACAGAGGAAGGAGCGGGGTCAGATGTGACTGGTGGTGTGCAGACAGATCATTCTGCAGCGAATAGCACAAAACCCCGCTTTGATGGCCGAGAGAAGCGTGTGCAGGAGGACAGACCCACACGTACTGAGAAAGGACAGGCAGGTGTGGGTGTCATGTCCCCAGTATCAGCCTCCAAGGACGAGCGGGGAAAGTCTATAGATACAGAATAAATACTGTCGCTTGGAGCTGCATTTATTCTTTTTTCAGACTAATGGCTCAGATGGTGGAACAACCGAACGATGACTAAAATATGAGTCAAATGCTTTCAAATCAAATCATTCCAGGGAAGCAGGAACACAGGCGAGCAGAAAGCAGTTCATTAGAGGTTCCGACCAATACTTGTTAAATCGGAAGAAACTCGCTCTCCTTAATGACTGCCTCTTTCAATCTAAGTCATTTTGACGTTAGTGACCGGGGACAACAGATCTTTACCACTCGTGACGCCTACTGATCGGCTCTGAGCAGTGGAAAAGGCAGCTCCTGGCTGGGCTTGTGCCCTGTCCCCAGTCCTGATCTGTCTTCCTGCTCTCCCAGGGTTACCCAGCATGTCACCAGGGACGCCAAATGGTGTCAGGAAATTCGAAAATTAGACTCAAAGTTGAGTTTCTTAGTATTTTTGAAAACCAACTTTCATTTAAATACAAAAATAGCTCATGTTAAGGTGGAGTGGGGGTGGGGGGAGGAGGTGAAAAGAGGCACACTATTAAACGGAACCGCAGGGCATCGAGCTCCCAGAGGGCCGGCACGCACCACCTGGGGCACGGAAGACGCAAGAGCACGTACACGGGCCTCGCGGAGCACCACGCGGGCCCACGACAGACAGGTGCATGTTTCCCCGACATCTTTCTCCTCCCCCTTCCTTCTGCTGATTTCTCAGTTTCAAATTCTTTCCCCAAGTGTTCATCCCTATTTTACAATTCTATTCTTTAAAAAAAAAAGGATTCTTGGTGAAGAGACACTGAGAAGGTGTTTCTAAACGGCCTAAGGCACTTAGAAAACAAAGCCTCCCACCACATCTATTGGAAGACGACCTCGTCGGGAATATGCAGAGGTACCCACACGTTCCTGCCGTGTCAGGCACCTGTTTTATTCCCCACCCCTCCTGTTTTTTTTTTTTTTTTTTTTTGAGACAGAGTCTGGCTCTGTTGCCCTAGCTAGAGTGCCGTGGCGTCAGCCTAGCTCACAGCAACCTCAAGACTCCTGGGCTCAAGCAATCCTCCTGCCTCAGCCTCCCGAGTAGCTGGGACTACAGGCATGCGCCACCATGCCCGGCTAACTTTTTCTATAGATTTTTAGTTGTCCAATTAATTTCTTTCTATTTTTAGTAGAGACGGGGTCTCGCTCTTGCTCAGGCTGATCTCGAACTCCTGAGCTCAAACAATCCGCCCGCCTCGGCCTCCCAGAGTGCTAGGATTACAGGCATGAGCCACCGCGCCCAGCCTAAGGCAACATATTCTTAATTTAATCCCACAATGTAAGACTTGCAGATAATTAGAATTCAATTCAATTTATTGAGTATTTAGCAAGGGTAACTCACTCTGGGAAGTATTACGGGAAGTACAAGGGTGAATCAGACACGGTACCTGCTCTCAGGGAATTCACGGTACGTGGGAAAGGGGAAGAGAAAGAAGTGAAAGGAACTAGCATTTGCTAACTGCTTACCAGGCGCCGGTGCTCTACTCGATCACTGCATGTGCTGCTCACAGCCACTTTGTGAGGAAGATGCTGCAATACCCACTTTACAGCGAGAAAAGTGAAGGCACAGAGACCTCAAGTAACAACCTCTAAAGAGGTGAGTTTGATATTCAAACCCTCATCTTGGAATCAGAAGCCTGTGTTCATTCCACTACACATGCTGTTCCCTACGAAAGTGACGAATCTTGGAGGAGAAGCCGCAGGAAGGTAGAAGACAAAGAGGAGAGCACACCAGGCTCCTGAGGGTAAAGGCACATGGCAAAGGTAGGTCCTGGAGGTCAGGAAGGCGGGCGTCTGGCAGAGATGAGGCGTCGAGGACACGCAGGAGCAGAGCGAAACGAGGGCGGGAGGCAAGCTCGGTGTACGCAGGCGCCGGAGCAGGCGCGGAGCGGAGGCTGGGGCGCAAGCACGGGTGTAGAGAAAGGCTGGCTCCCCGAGTCTGCATCCACCACACGCAACGGCGAGCCACTGCGGGCGCTCTGGCACGGGACACAGTCAGACCGCTGCTTTGGGAAGATCACCACGGCAATAGCGTGCAAGGATGGAGGCGTGGGGGAGTTCGGAGGTAGGAAGACTGGTTCGAAGAGCAGTGGAGAGAGCAGGAGAGACGTAATTAGTCATACGGAAAAGGGGCGTGGAGGAGAGAGGTATCTCAGAGACGGGAACGACAGAACGTGGCGATTGGTGCATTACGAATGGGGTGGCCACACACGCGGCTTTGCCTGGGATACGTTCTCCTGCCGTAGTTACTAGTGTACCGTTCACTCTCAAAAAGGTGCAAGTATGGACAATAACCTATATAATCGAACTAAATTAGGAGCAATAAGAAAACAGAATCAAAGGTGACTCTAAGATTTTAAACCTGGATTAGTAAGGAAGGTGGTAACACTTTGGAAACACAGAAGGGAAATCGGGTTTTTGGAGAGATGATGAGTTTGGATTTGGACGTGCTGAGCTTGCCGCTGAGGCGAGGGTTCATTTAGGAGAGAGGAGCACCTTGCCCATGGATTTGCGCTGTGTCACGTGAAGGAAGGCATCATTGACCTGAAACACAAAATCCAAAAACACGTGAGCAGACATGCACACGTGCATATTTCGACGAATGTTTGTTGCTGGTCCAGTTATTAAAGTAGCTAAAGTGTTAGGATGTGTCTCCAATGAACTGAACATAACCAACTATGCAGTGCTAATTAACTAATCACCATGAATGCAGTGAAAAACATTAATATTTAAGAATACCCCAATCCCAGTATTTCTGTCTAAACCTATAATTCTCAATGGGTTCAGATAAATGCCAGCAGGTAAAAAGTCTGTCCATACTCTACTGTGATAGTTCTGTGTGTTCCAGCTTTCGAAAGAATGGAGCCTCTGGCAGAAGAATCAATACTTATTTTTTATAATTTTTATCTTTTCATTAAAATTGCCCTATTTCCTGTGTAACTAAAATTGTAATCTATCTTAAATCTTTTTTCAGAAGTATAAGGTTACAAAACATATATTAAAAAGCAGCTACAGTAATCAAGGCAGTGTGATACTGGTGAAAGAATAGGCAAATAGATCAATGGGACAGAACAGAGAGCCCAAAATAAACCCACACGAATAAAGTCGACTGATCTTTGACAAAGGAACAAAAGCAATTCAGTGGAGAAAGGACAGTCTTTCAACAAATGGTGCTAGAAAAACTGGATGTCCACATGGAAAAATACGAATCTAGACACAGGCCTTACACCCTTCACAAAAATTACCTCGAAATGGATTATGGATCTAAATGTAAAATGCGAAACTATAAAACTTCCAGAAGAAAACATAGGAAAAAAATCTAGGTCACCTTGGGTTTGGCAATGAGTTTTTACAGACAGCACCAAAAGCACAATCCATGAAAAAAAAATTGGTAAATTGACTTCATTAAAATTAAAAACTTATGCTCTGTAAAAGACACTGTTAAAATAATGAAACACAAACCACAGCCTGGGAGAAAATCTTTGCAAATCATATATCTGATAAACAACTTGTATCTAAAATAAACAGAGAATTCTTAAAACTTAGTAAGAAAACAACCCAATTATCAATAAAAAGAAGGCAAAAGAGCGGAACAGGCCAGGCACAGTGGCTCATGCCTATAATCCCAGCACTTTGCAAGGCCAAGGTGGGAGGATTACTTGAGGCCTGGAGTTCAAGCCTGGCCTGGGCAACATAGCAAGACCTCCACGTCTATTCTTAAAAAAAGAAAAGATCTGAACAGACACCTCACCAAAGAAGATATATAGATGGCAAATAGTATATAAAAATATGCCCAATATCACAGGTCATTAGAGAATCACAAATTAAAACAACAATCAGACACCACTATACACTTATTAGAATGGCTAAATCCAAAACATTAAAACCAGATGCTGGCAAGGACATGGAGCAATAGAAACTCTTAGTTGTTGCTAGAAGGAATACATGGTACAGCCACTTTGGAAGACAGTTTGGCAGTTTCTTACATAAGAAAACATACCCTTACCATACAATCCAGCAATTGCACTCCTAGGTATTTATCCAAATGAACTGAATGTCCATACAAAAACCTGCGTGTGAATATTTACAGCAGCTTTATTCATAACTGCTAAACTCGGAAGCAACCACTATGTCCCTCCACAGGTGAATGGATAAACAAACTGTGGTACATCCACACAATGGAACATCAAGCCACGAAAAGACATGGGGGGATCTTAAATGCATTTTGTTCAGTGAAAAAAGCTAGTCTGAAAAGGCCACATACAGTATGATTCCAACCACACAACATTCTGGGAAATGCGAAACTACAGAGATGGAAAAGGGTTTGTGGCTGCCAGGGATTGAAGGGGCCGGGGATGACCATGTGGAGTCCAGGGATTCCTCAGAGCAGTGAAGCTATTCTGTATGACGCTGCATACGAGACATCACGCGCTGGGCAAAACCCACAGAACTGTACGACACACAGGGCTGACCTTACTGTAAACTACAGATTTAGTCAATAACGTATCAACGTTGGCTCATCATTGTAATAAAGATACCACGCCAACGCAAGACGTTAATAACGTGGAAACTGGGCAATGGAAGAGGGAGTATGTGAGAACTCTCTCTACTTTCTCTGAATTTTTCTGTACACCTACAACTGCTCAAAAATAGTCTATTAATTTTTAAAATAAAATAAATGATAAATTAAAAAATGAAAGTAAAAACGCAAAGAAGAATAGAACAATGTGTCATTATTTGCAAACAATATAATAATCTACACAGAAAAACTAATCAAAGCAACAAACAAACAAGAAAGATCAGCAAGATTGTGAGATATAAGATCAGCTTAGAAAAGTTACTGACATTTCTCTACATCAGAAGTAACTAGGCAATTTACATAAATAAAATATCATTCTCAAAAGCAATAAAAACAGTAAAGTACTTATAATTAACCTTACTAAGAATAATTCACAAGACCTTAGAAAAACTTTAAACTCCAGTAAAAGACCTAAAAAGAGGCCAGGTGCAGCGGTTCACGCCTGTAATTCCAGCACTTTGGGAGGCTAAGAAGGGAGGATCGTTTGAGCTCAGGAGTTCAAGACTCTACACAAAAAGTTTTTAAATTAGCCAAGCGTGGCGGGGCACCCCTAAAGTCCCGGCTATTCGGGAGGCTGAGGCAGCAAGAGGATCCCTTGAACCCAGGAGTTCAAGGCTGCAGGGAGCTCTGATTGGGCCACTGCACTCCCACCTGGGTAACAGAGCAGGACCCTGTCTCAAAACAAACAAACAAGACCTGAGAGATCTAAATAAATGGCAATGTATCCCTGTTCACTTGTTCATAGATTAGACAACTTATCACGGTAAAAATATCAGCCTCCCCCAAATTAATATATAAAATCAATGCAATTCCATTCAAGAAGTCAGCCAGAGTTCTTGAGGAGCTAAACAAATTTATTCTAAAATTTATTTAAAAGTATAAAGATTCACAAGTAGCTAAGTCAAATTTGAAAAAGAACAAAGATGGAAGAGTTACCCTTCCATGTATTAAAACATTCAAAGCTATAAACATAAAAACTCTATGACTCTGGTATAGGAACAGATATGTAAACCAAGAAAACAGAACAGAAAGCAGAGAGAAGACACACGTATCGCCTGGAACCTGGAATAAGAAGAAAGCAGCCCCACAGACCAAGGAGAAACTGTGGACTGTTTGGTACTGGGACATTCAGCTCACTATAAAAAGTGAAAAAAAAAAAAAGGCTACCTGACTCATACCCAATACAAAGGTGACTTTGGATACATTAAATCCTTCAGTGTGAAACAAAACTACAAACTTAATAGAAAAAAATTGAGAAGAAAATCATTGTGACCCAGGGATAATGAGGACTTCTAAAACAAGTCCCCAATAGCATAACCATAAGGTAAAATATTGAAGTGTTTGATTACATTAAATATAGACAAAGGTGGCAGTAGCATGGCAAATTTGGAAGGAGACTTTTGCAAAGTCTCAAACTAACATCTAGAACCTTGCTACTCAAAGGCTGGTCCAAGGACCATATGCTTCTGCATTATCTGAGAGCTTGTTAGAAATGCACAATCCTGAGTGTCATCCCAGCTTTACTGAATCAAAATCTGAATGTTAACAAGATCCCCAGGTGATCTGCATGCATAGCAAAGTTTGATGAGCACAGATTACACAGGAACTTTTGCAAATTATTAAAAAAAAAACAGAAAGCAAATCAGAAAACTGCACAAGGAGCTTAAACTGCAATTCAAAGGAAAACTGGCTTGCTAGCAAATATATAAAGAGATCCTTAAATTTATCAGAAATCAGGGAGATTCAAGTTAAAATAACAAGATGCCACTTTATGCCTTATCAGTTTGGCAAAAATCAGAATGTTGAACACTGCTACCCGTCAACAGGGTAACAAGTAAACAAGAACCCTGACGCAATGCTGGTGGGGCACAACCTGGTCAAGTCACTCTGGAGAGCAGCTGGCAGACAGACCAAGCACTCATCCTACGACCCAGCAACCCTACTGCTGGTAAAATACTCCCAAAGCAACACTGGCACAGTCCCCAAGGTCACGCACAGGAGGCTGTTTACTGCCACACTGATTATGGTGGCAGGGAATCAAGCCAACCCCAAAGCTCATCGCCAGGGAATGGATTTGCCAACTATGGGGGAGGCACACCGTGCGCCGCCATGCAGCAGTGGGAAGCAAGGAACTGGGTGCAGGGACAGCAACACAGACGGACCTTAAAGAGACAGCACTGCATGAAAAATTCAGAAACACAACAAAATCTAGAGCACAACATCATTTGTGTAACTAGAAAGTAAATTAACACAAATTAATTCTATGTGTTTTACAAGGAAATATAAATCCAAAGACATGTATCAAACATGTTACGGAGACTGGCTCCGAAGGGAGGAAAGAGTGAGGAGAGACAGTGAGATTAAAGGGAGTTAAGTAAATATAGACGTTCGTAAATATAACAGACACAAAAACAGAAGATGGGCTTTGCACGGTCCAACAGTGAAAATGTGCTTTGAAACGAGGATTATGATTAACCAACCCTTTTCATCTGAGATCCTCCGAAAACACATAGTAAAAAATATAAATTAAAAAAAGCAGAGAAACAAATCAATCATGGCAGTCTCTCTGCAGCATGAAATCCCTGGTTTCAAAAACATCTGTCTTTCAGGGCATCATGCTTTACAGAGACCTTTCCTATCTAGGCAAATTTAGACTCACTTCGAGGAGGTGGAGGAGGTCGAAGACAGATGTTTGAAACACTCAGCCCCCCTGTCAGTCATCTCCAGGTGACTCATGGCTGCATCACATTCCCCGTCAGTTAGAAGTCACTTGTTCCCAGAGATGTGTCATAGCCCGACAATAGAAAATACTTGAGAAAATAAGTATTATTCGAGATAGTGATACTTTTTCACCTGACATTCTAGGGAAATTTAAGGATCTCCTACAAATAAATGGTAACATAAAAAGAAAGACACCCCTTCAAATGCTCAAGCTTATTTTTAACCATTTTGTACATCAATCTTTACTAAAATGTATCACACATGCATCTGACTTCTGTAAAAGGTCATACTGGGCGTGATCTTTTCGTTCCACAACCTGAGCATCTCAAAATGTTAACATCCATTACTTTACTTTCTGTTTTTCAGATGTTTTGTCACCTCTCCATGTCCAATTGCCACTTCTGCTGTGATTGTAGCTGCTTCTAAAAATAACCCAACTCTGTCCCTTTCTACCTGGCAGTTTCTCTCTGGGCTGGGAGAACAATCAGAGGTGCTAAGGACTGGAAGTTTAGTAAGAATGATAAGGCTCTGAGAAAGAGACTAAAAAATAAAACACACAGCTTTAGACCAGAGACTTTTGATAGCTACTTCAGATGCCTGGGGACACTTTCCTCCTCTGGATTCTACAGGCTGCATCACACAGAGGAAGGCTGCACAGCACCGGTCCTAGACAGACACACGGGCGGTTCCCAGCACCCTGGTTCCCTGCCTTGAGGGGGATAAAGCCGTAATTAAATTTGTCTCTAGAGAGAACGCAACCTGGAATTTGGGGCAGGATAAGGATATTGCCTTTGTTTTGGGATGCGAAGGTTCTGCTGTTGGAATTTTTAATTAGCTCATCAAGCAGGAATAATCAGAGCAACTTACAGTTCCCTAAATACATCATGCTGATTCATGCTTCTCATTAGAAACCGGTCTTCCCCTACTGCAGCACTGTCCTGAGATCTTCCCAATGAAAAAATTAACTAATTAACACCCTAAGGGCATGACAAAGTCTTACTGTTTATTGACTGACATACAGGGAATGTTTGATGAATAAAATAAATTCGTGAATGAATGAATGTATCTTTGATGAGTGGGACTGTTTAGGTAAAAACTTTCAGCTAGTGATGCATTGCTATAGATGAATATACTCATCATGTCACTGCCCTGATACAAGGTGATCTGAATCTCAGATACCAACCACTACACACCTAATGGAATGGCTAAAACTAAAGAAAACAACTGACAAGACTAAGTTCTGGCAGACACAGAGCAACTGCAACTCTCGTACGTTGCTGGTGGGAATGCAAAATGGTATAACCACTTTGGAAAATAGTTTGGCAGCTTGTTAAAAGTTAAATTTGAAGTAGCGAATCCGTACAAGCAAAATTCCAAAATGTTAAAACAGCTCAACTTTGGGCCCATTCGTATGCTGGAGCACGTCTGTATTCTCTCGTCCAGAATACTCCCAAAGAAACAGAAAATACATGTGCCGTGGGCTTTGATAGGAATGCAGTCATAGTGGCCTTGTCTTCAAAATCATGGGCTATGGAGACTAAAACAGAATGCTTCTGAGTAACTGAGGCGTGGAGAAAGCGCCATCGACTTAATCAAGCCAATCTAACCCTAAATAATAAACAAGCTGACCTGCGAGATTCAAGCACCGCAGCAGGTTGAGATGTCCGTGGGCGGCTCCCTGCAGAAAAAGAGCAGACAACGCCGTCCTCCAAACAGACCACAGGTCGAGTCAGGACCCCCCCTCGTGGCACAGTTACAAGCCTTCAGAAAACAGCAAATTCCAGCGAAAATCTAAGGACTGTCTTTCCAAGCCTTCCCTCGGAGACATCAAGGCCAAAGCGTTATAGTTACGGGGAAGTGAAAAAACTAAACCTTGTATTTTAAAACGGCGACATGTTAGGCTTTTCAAAAGTTACTAAATTCAATATGGGATTTTACATGTATTATCTTATTTAATCCTCGTAACCACCCTAGGAAGTAGGACATATTACTGCCCTCATTACAGATGAAAAAATTAAGGCGCAAAGATGTGTAATCTGCCCACAGCCAGGGTCTGAACTCTGGTGGTCTGACCCCGCAGCCCCACACGCTCAAGGGGGCATTCAGTGGATATGTGAGCGCCCACCAGAAGATGGAGATGCAGAGGCACGCACGGCCCCGCCTGCGTGGAGTTTGTGCTCCACGGAAAGACAGGCGTGAACAGCGATTACAGGTCAATGAAGGAGAAACAGAGTGCGAAGGAAGTTCACTTCCTGCACCTACTAAAAGGCCATGTTATGAAGTTTACGGTCATATTAATATCAACTTCAAGGTCAAATCTCTAAGTCCACATATTCAGGAGAAAAATAAAGGCTAGGAAGCACCAGTATTTCTGATACTGTGTGTGTGTTTAAGTACAATGGTCA